ACCATTTTTTGAATGTGGCTTTGGGGTGAAATCCTGACTGGAGGTGTTCTGTGCTGCATTTTATTCTGTAGTGAGACCTTTAAGTCAGGTGAGCAGATTCAGTGAATGTTTTCTGTCCTCTCTTATCTCCTGACTACTTTTTCTATGCAAACAATAAGCAAAGGTCTCATCAGTGCTATTCTTTTTTATAGCATATAGGTTTTTGGATGTGATATTTTTTTTTTTTCTGCGCAAGACGGGATGGATGTTGATGGTAAATCACCTGGAAGAAAGTAATCATTGCTTTGGATCAAGAATGTGGCACTGTTTATATTCTTGCCATGTTAGACACCTCTCTGAAATACAAACAAGCAGATGTTTGCCATATCCCCCTAAATTTCTGTGGCTTAAGAAGATGACATGCATGAAAATATGTTCAGCTTTTTGGAAGTTGTGTTGGTCAATAGGCAGGAAGGCTGAGGGTTTCAGTTCAGCTTCTTCCACCAAAGAGAGTGAATAGCTTTGTCTGCTTCACATAGCTTATTACCATCTTATACCTCCAAGATGAGAGTTACAGTAGCTCAGAAAAAAAAAATCTCCATCTGATTTATGTTTTGAGTGTTTGGGGTTTTTTTCTTTTAAGTAGGACTGCTACTACATAACCACCATTGTAAAGTATTCAGTGCAAGAAATAGGTGGCTAATTAGGCTATTGTCTGTAGGACACTTGCTTTATTCACTGTGGAAATTAGCAAAGTATGTCACAAATGAGGTACAGATCTGGTGAAAAGAAGATGGTCTTGTGGTTATGGTAGAGGACTGTGTAATCTGGGGAATTGTGTACTGAAACTAAATGCTTCACAGAATTTTTGTGTGACGTTGAGTAAGTCACTTCACTCGGTTTCCGTTAGTGAAGGCTAATTATTTGTGCTTCATTTTTCAGGTACTCAGCTTGAAACAAGGGCCTGATTTGTGGAACTGGTGGGCAGTTAAAGCTCCATCTGAAGCTAATGAGAATTGCAGATGCCCTAATACCACTGAAAAAAATCAGTCCCTAGGCCTGGTTTGAACTAGGTACTTAGAAATTAGGGGACTCTCTAAACTTGTAATATTTCTGTGCTTCGGTTTTCTAGCTGTGGAGGTTGGTAATTCTTTTCAACTCATCCCATTTCCTCCCAAACCACTACCAACTCATTGATTTTTTTTGTTATTGTTGTTTGAGACACTTAAATAGCCCTGTAAAGTGCAGTAAGCTACAAGGACACAGAATGTCCCGTTTTCAGGACTGAAACTGGAAGGTGTGCAATAAATTAGAACTGGAATTTTACACTGATGAAGATGACATTAAATTACAGCTTCATTATCTCATTGGTATCTTTTAGATAAATTAAGTGGGGGTGGTCCACTTGGAAAAAAGACCAGTAATAATTAAAAATGTGTCATAGCACATACCCGAGAGAAGGAAACTGTTAAGGTTTTGTGAGCTCTCTTAGTTCTAACATAAATTCTTATTGTACAGTCATAATATTTTGGGTTTATATGGTGATAGGACAATATGATGCAGCCCCAGTAGTCACTGCGCTTACTTATTTTTCTCTTCGGGGTATGTATTAGAAGGTAGTTCATACCAATTTGTCACTGAATTAATGGATGATTAGTAGGTTGTATCTTTTATATCACTTTGGGAACAATTGCCCACCATTTCACAAATGATGTTCCATCAGCGATAAAAGTAATGAGAACCTTAGCGCTGAATTTTTTTACTGATGGGAGCTTCCTCCTCCCGATGTTATAGCGGATTGTAAAAGGACAGAGAGCAGGTTTTAACTGCTGTCTCTAAAACAATACTGCATGTGGTTTGGTTTTGGCGACATTTGCATTTAAAGCGCCTTCAGCACCAGCTCAGTCATCAGTGGAGTTTAGTTTTGCTAAACTAAGCTTCTGCCTGAAATACGCTGACTGCAGCAATGCTATTTTAAGGCTTTACTAGTGTGAAATGTAAGGTCAGTGCTTATTTAATGATACTTAGCTAATGACTTCATAGTAGCAGTGTTCATGTTGACGTCACTCTTTGCTAGAAAATTGTTTTACAATTCAGCTGTTCAAAATACTGTTTGATCATGATTTTTGCTAATCATTCATCTTGCAACTGAATGGAAACTAATTGCTTGTCTGGAAAAGATTTGAGAGTAGATTTAAAGATAACAAAGGACAAGATCTCCTTTTCAAACTTAGGTGCCGTTCTTTTTGGGGTTGAAGACAGAAAATGACGTTAAGGACAGGTTTATTTTTCAGTGCTTCATAAGATTTTCTTGCACTATTTCTGATGCTGCCTGTAAAAACAAACTTTTCAGGAGTGCGTGTGCTTAGGTTTTTAGGGCATTGCGTTAGTATGAATTCTGAATTCAGCAGTTCTTCCATTAGTGAAAGTGGGGGTCACATTCAGTGCATAATGGAATCAAATGCAGTGCAAGGATCTTTCATTCAGCAGCAGGTAACATTACACACAAGAGAGCCTTCAGACACATTTGAACATAAGATTTGTTGCTTACCTGCTAACAAAATAAGTCTTTGGTTCCTTGTATATCCTATGTTAAAGTACCTAGATGCGCAGTGAAAGTTTTCTTTAATGCACTGTTAGTACTACAGTTCCAACAGCAGCTTTTACCACCAGCAGTTCATGGAAGAGTCAAAGTTGTTCCTGAATATCTGAACCATATCTTCTATTTGAAAAAAACAATGGCCTCAGACCCTTTGTACGGTTTTCTTTTTCAGCGTAGAACAATAGCATGTTTGTATATGCTGTGTCCTGCTATCTTAAGAAGTTAACACTTGCGGATTTGATTTTTTTTTTTTTTTTTTTGCAAGCATCCTGTGTCTTCTCAGCAGTGCAGCTCCATTATGGGCATGGGAGGTCTGAGGTGGTGACTGGGAAGTAGTAATATTGAAACTGTGGTGCAACCAAACCAATTCATGAAAAGAATTCACAGCTAAGCTTGCTGTGAAAGAGACACTGGGCATTAAAAATGCAAACTGTTGTCTATACCTGCCTTTCTACCATTATTGCTACTAGTGATTTTACACAAGCATTAGTGTAGGGATGGGGAATTTCTAGAGCAGTACCAATATTAAGGCAGGATTTGCAAAACTGTTGATTAAGCATTATTTCTAGTGGGTAAGTCAGTGTCACATGTTCAATAGGATCCCACATGATACCGTTATTAAATATCTAACATCACAGAACCGAAAAAGAATTGTTTTGATTTCTGTTACCAATTGTCTGGAGCACATTTGGACTGCAAATGCTTCATTCTGAGGGCACTGTCTGTTCACATCTCAGTTCTTGATTAGTTCTTAGCCTGCAGACCCAGTCACCTTGTTGGAGTTGTTATTACTTCATTTACCTCAGAACTTTAAATGCTATAATGGATTATATTAGAATAAACTGTTGCAAATATTTGGATGTGTTTCAGCTATAATCCATAATGAAACTATAGCTCTCCTGTTTTCAAGAACTTAATTTCATTTGTAGTGAAAACATCCCCTCAGTATACAACTCGGCATTTAAATGTTAGCCTTTTCTTTATTTTTGCAGTAAAAAGCCTGATCTGATCAATTGATGAATCTTGTTGAGGCAGCCGTGAGCACAGGATCGGCACTGAAACCAGCTGACTTTCTTGTTCAGGCCAAGTGTAGCTATTCGTCTGCAGTACTTCAGACTGCTGTGGCCAGTGGGTAGTAAGTGAATTAACAAGTAAAAGCTAATACTGGAGAGTTTTAAGAAGCACATCTTAGGGAAGTGGGTGTTCTCCTTTTAAACAAAGCTCCGCTTTCTTTTCTTTCCTGTGCTTCTCTGAGATACAAGCTATGATGTGTAGGATCCCAGTTTTCTGCTGCTCTAAGAAAGACCATGCTAGCCAGAGGACAAATTTTTTAATTAGATTTAGGAGAAAATCCTTCAGGCTTCTTCTCACTCGCTTCTGGAAGAAAATGTTTTTTAGCAGTAAAGCTATAACGTGCTTTCACAGTGAGTGGGACATTTTTCCTTGGGAATTTTTATTAGGGCATTTTTTACACAGATAGTAACTCTCAGTTGTTTATGAAACAAATTTGGCCTATGTAGTTTGCCATCTGGCTCTGAAGGGATCTCTTTTCAGGAAAGATAGACTAATTAATAATCTTTGATCCACATTATGCTTAGTGTGCAGTCCCTTAAGTTAGAATGGTACTGCTTCTGATTTATTGGTAAGACAGGTACCCCCAAAATACAGGCTTATATCCAGAAAGAAAAAGAAAACTTGGCGTCTGATGATTTATTAAAATGGCTAAACTTGAGATCTGTTGGAACATGGAAGGAAAGAGGATTTCAAGATCTAGCAAAAGCCTGCTGGTTTTCAAGATCCAGGTCTCAAGAGCTGGGTATAGTTGGCTGGTCCTGACTTATCTGTGGCGTTTAAGAGTAGTTTGAATTTCAGCTGGTATTGCCTGGAAGGGGTATAGAGCATCAATTTGTGGCCACTAATGGCTCAGGTTACAACTAGCTATGTACTGTAGTAACAAAAATGTGCAGGAGATGGGCTTGGTCTCTGTGTGGAATAATCTGCAGGTTCTTTAGAGTGTTAGGTTAGTTCCTCTTTTCTATTTACAGTTGCTTATACAGGCATTCTGATGTTTTCACCCCAAAGAATGGGTTCAGTGCCTCTAAAAAACATCTAGAAATGAAGGACCTGGACAAATTCTCTTCACTTTTAAATTACCTTGGTAGAGGTGGAGAGGAGTCTAGCCACTGATTTTTAAACACTTTTCCCATAGTTTTGCCACAAAAAGGAGTCACTAGACTGGCTTCAGAAACATTTGTGGTACAAAGTGGTGATCAGTAAGGAAGGGGGGTATCCTTCCTTACTGGAGGAGCAGCTAGTCTTTTACAATGTGCTGCTCCCATTTAAGATACTCAAGAGCCCCGACTTAATCACTAATGTCAATAATGATACTACGATATACTGTCGTTTTATAGTTTTGTTGGAAGCTATAATGAAGAATGGAAGTACTGCTGGGGGAGGTGCTTACTTCCGAAAACCAGCCAGTAGCAATGATCAAAGTAAGCCAAACAGCACGAAGGAGAGCAATACATCTGCTGCAGATGAAAGTGGAAAAGGCTACACCAAAGACCAAATAGAAGGAGTATTCAGGTATGGCCTTGCTTAAATACATCACTGTTTTTCATTCTGTGTATTATGTACTTACGCTTTCAGCTCTAGCATCTAAAGAAGCAACAGAAAATTCAAGGTTAACTGACAGGGGTTGCTTGTACTGAACTGTGACTAAAAGGAAGAGGAGAGTTTTGCTGTGTTTAAATACCGTATGGATGCTGTCACTTTCTGTGAGAAGGATGATGCTCATCTTTATATAAAGTAACCTTGGTGGTTTAAAAAGAAACTACTCAAACTAGTTATTTAGTAGCTCTCATGTTAAATGGAAGAAGTGATGAAAATTCTATAGTACAACTTGCAGGACAGTGTTTCTATTCTTAAATATTTTTATACTCATGGTATCTAGGTTTTCATTACATGCTTGCTCCTAAAGTTTATGTTCAAGCTAATCCTGCTGTACAGGCTGGTCTTAGACCAGTGTTAAAACTCTTCTGTTCTGGAAGTACAGGTATCTGAGAAGCACTGAAGCACATAGTCTAAGTTGCGTTATAAACTCTGTCTGGACTTTATGCAGTATGATAATATTAAGATGGGGTGACATCAGGAAAGGAGGATGTACAAAAAGAAACAAAGATCAATAATGTCCTTTTGAGGCCAGTAACTCTTAAGTCATGTTATTATTACACACTTCTTGGCTGTAGGAGTGAGAAAAATATTGTTTGATATGTGCCCTGATTTCTGCTAATGAAATATGGATACAGCCACTCTAAAATTGCACACCTCAAAACCCACCAGTGTTTTCAGATAAGCCTAGCGCAAATATTTTCAAGGGAGCTCAAAAGGAGGGAAATCAAGACATCTTCATCTCCTCCTTTTTGTAAATTGGATGAACTGTTGTGCAAAACAGAAATTTGTGTATGAATTTTTTTGTGTGAAATGTATGTTGCTGTTGATATTATCTTGGGATCTTTTCCTGAAGTTCAGTAATCTGTTCAGCTGTGCTAACAGTGAGGAAAGGGCAGCTTTTCTTTGTTGATACAGCAGCCCTGCATTCAGGCAGGTAGACAGCAGCATCTCTGGCATGGTTATCCTCTTGGTGTTGCTATTTAGTAGAGCTTTTCATTTACCATCATCTCTGCTTAATTAATGTTATTGTGCTTCATGATACATCTAGAGTAAAACCTGAATAAGCGTATACATTTTTGAGCACCTTGAAATATTAGCTGTTAAAATGAACGCAAAGTGTGTGTGTGTGTGTGTGTGCACATGCGTGTGAGACAAAATATCCAGAAAGAAGTCCTGTGTAAAGTGAGGCTTAGATCAAATTAAGACATGTAACACATTCTCAGAAACCTACTACAGGGAAGGCTGTGTTACTGCCAGTATTCACTCACCCGTGACGTGCCATTCTGAGCTGCAGTCTGCTTTGACATCAGGCTCCCTGCAAGTTCATTTTCGTTTGTTTGTTTGTTTTACCAGAAAGTAATGTTGCCTAGTTTTTCTTGAGTAAAATGATGTTGTAGAGCAAACTTTTCTCCATGGTATGCTTTGATGGTATTGGGTGGGTATCCCTTGAAGGGATTCACTAGATCCCAGACAAAAATTTATTCAGTTTGTTGAGATCAGAACCAGAATTAGGGGTATTCAAGGAAGTTGCACATTGAGGATAATTTTGATGCATCATTGTTTCTTAGTGCCTATTTCAGCAATCTGCTTTGTGAATATAAAATTTGTTTTTTCTTAAAAAGTACCCAGATTTTTTGCAAATAAGCAATTGTAATAGCTTGCAGAACAACCCATGTTTGTTTGTATTTTACTTACCACTTAGAAAATCCACTGTTAAAACAATATCTTGACCTTAGCTTGAGTGATGCTACCATCCTTTGGTATAGCAGTTTATAAACCTTTGGGGAGAGACTGAATTTTGGTTTAGATGTGCAGTAATCAACAGAGCAAGTCCCCAGTTCTTGTTGGAAGTTTTGAGACATTTGTCATGTTGTCAGTTAGTGACATCAACACTCCACTTAGAAAATTTGTGGTTAAGAATTAAAAAACCTGTGTGCCTTGCCAAGGAGAACAGGATTAAATACAAACAGTGGGCTAAAATTTAATGGAAAAATATATATCAGTGATGATAGCTGAGGGAAAGTTCACATTTAAACCACAGTGAGAATGAGTTTTCTAGTTGGAAACATGACAGGCTGCATATGTTATCGCTTCAGTCAGACCCCAGACTTTTCCAATTAAATGAAACGTACCCCTCTGGGGAAGGTATTCTTCAGAGAGTGGAGCTTGTCACCACCATACGCTTCTGCCATACCACAGTGGAATGGTTTTTGGACCTTTGAATGGGTTAAAGAAATGCTGAAAAGAGGTGGTTTTAAATAGTGTTTCATGCCTGCTTTTTTTTTTTTTTTTTCCTATAAGGAGACATTTCTAGATAGCAAGGTAGGAAAATCTTCAATCTTTAATAAATTCTGAATCTTACAGTGAATTTGACTCTGTCGAACTAAGTTGTTTTGTATGCTTATGATTTGAAATGTTGTCATTATCCTCAAGTATTCTTCCCTCTAGAAGTTTTTTGTTCTGTATTAGTAACTGAATATAGATGGAGAGAAAGCATTTCTGATTTAACTACGCGTGCCATTTCCAACCCTTTTTTATAAGCTGTAGTGAGCAGTCGGACAGGGGACTGACTCTGAGCTCTCTGACTTGGATGACTGTTTTGTGTTCCTGGAGTTGTCCAGCTATCTTGAATTTGCTTGTGACAATAGATGTAAGAAGCATAGTGAAGACATCCTTGGAGCAGTGTGACGAATTTAACTGCATTAATTTTCATCAGGGTTACTCCAGTAATGTGGATGTGTATGAGTACAAACAAGCACCTCTGTGCTGTTTTTATTTTTTCCACATACACAGGGGACACTGATCACCAGCAAGTTACCATAACACTTCTGTAGAGCATTACATGAGCTTGCAAACAAGCTGCTCAACAGGGAGAAGTGTAAGATGCCATGTCTTTCCACTGATTGCATAAGTTCTTTGTGGGAACGGTGCTCACTATTTCAGTGTGACAGTTCAAAGCTTGAGATATCCAAAAGCACTTTCTTGCTTTTGAATTGAAATGCTTTGGAAAACCATCTGTAGTACATGCATCTTTTTTTTAATGATGTTTATCTTGTCACTGAGGGCTGGATCAAGTTGCCTTAACACTTTAGGTGACCTGCGTATCAGAGATACTGATAGGAGACCAGCAGAAATATGTTAGGACCCAAAGTAGACTTATGTCTTTTTAGAACAAGTGCCCTAGAAGTCTCTAGGCAATTGAAAGCTGTCTGAGCAATGTTAATTTAAGTGAATGAGAATTGCACACACAACAAAAAAGGGAGAATTTGCGTTTCAATTCTGTGGTCTTTGCTTTAAAGCAATTCCTTCACTGTTTGATGTAGGTTATTGGCACTTTTTGCTGAGATAAAGAAATTAAACATTTGTGTAAGAAAAAAAATGTAAACTTTTTTTTTCTTCTAGTTCACTTAATCCAACTGAAGAAGAAGTGCTGATCGGGATTACGGTTATCAGAGTTCTTAATTACTTTCAAACAAATTCTGTTCATTGTATCTGTCTACTCATACCAAGTATGCAGACACTTTGGAAAGGTTTTGTGGACTAGCATGAAATTAAAAAAAAAAAAAGGATCATTTGCCTGCTGTGTATTAATCTTTCCCATTTCTTTTTGTGCTGTGAAGTGCGTATTTCCTGGTTTTTACTATATGAATTAAAATAGTTTCAGAGATATAGATAGGTTGTATGCTTTATACAGACTCCCTTTAAATGATCTTAAAATTTGTATGGTGTCTGATATCTTTTTTTTTAGTAAATAAGCCGTAGCATATATTCCATATTACGTTTTTGACATCTGAAAGATAACTGCCATGATTAGTAGTATGCTAAAGTTGGATTGCTGTCTTGTGAAAACTGCAGTGGAATACTGCTTTTCCTGCCCTGCCAGTGCCTGCCCTTCGGAAGAGAGCACAAAAATGAAATTTTGTATTTGGATCTTTGAGTGACCCAAACCAATAGAGGCATGAGTTCTGTAGGAACTTTGCAAGGCAGGATTAAATGTCATCCAGTAGTGGCTGAGAATAATCAGCAATGTGATTTGAATTCACGGAGTAAACCCAAAAATTGTCTCTATGCATTTCATGGATCAAACAAGAAGGAATGCAAGTTCTGTGACTGACTTTTCCCAGGTCTTCTGCTGAGACTTCTACAAATTCAGCAAAAAGAGATATATTGTTACTTTTTTAACATGGGGTCAAGAAGATAATTAACTGAAAGTAGAATACTGAGACCAATCAACATGTGCTAAAAAAAAACAAAGCAAAGAAATCAGGGCATGCCTTTAATTAGGCTGTTAGAACTACTGTGAATTGTTGAAATATCCAGTTGAATGGTTGAGAAAGTCAAGGTGGAAATCACAGTCACAGAGCCTGTCATGGAAAAGTGGCACAGAAGATAGGGTGGACTTTGTCAGAAAGCTCCTGCCTTTAATCTACACATTTTAATAGCTAAAATAAAAGCATAAACAAAATCTGGAGAAAAGTATGCTGATGTAAACACAGCCTTGAATATTTTGTGTAATACACACAGGAGAAACAAACTGACCAGGTACATCTAAGAGCAAGGTACTAAGACAGGTACCCTAATGAGTTGTTTAATCTATCAGTAAAATGGAGATCTGAAACTTCCGATGTGTTAATTTCAGAAACTAGGGGTATGCTGGTACCAGCTTGAGTTCCTTGACAACACTGACCTTCTCTTCCCAATCTAGAGCACTTTTTGCAGACCACACTTATGTGATCCAAACTGTGACTGTCAGGTTCCCAATTCAGCTGCAAGACGCCATTTGCATCAGGCCTTCTGGCATCATTGGAAACTTTTCCTGTGTAGAAATGGGTCTGCATTTTACTGTGTTTTTCTTCTCAGCTCTGGGATCAGAAGTCAGTGTAGCTTTCTCTTGCTCAGTTCTTTGTCTCTAA